TTTTTCTTTTTGTTGATTGATAATAGGGAAAGTGTTACTCAACGATTACGTGATCCATTATTACTTGGTTCAGCAACAATTCTTGCAGCATCAAAAATGTTTTGTCATGGAACGAATAATTCACATATTCATGATAAGGTTTTTTTTAATTTATAAAAAAAGAATTAGATTTTCTTCATATTTTTTTTTAAATATCTAATAGATCATCAATTTATTTGTGAATCTTCTTGGTATTGATCCAATGCGTATTTATATGGCTCAATTTTTTGCTGAAGAAGTTTTACAAAAATCAGTTAATGTTCGATTATTGTCTGGACAAATAGATGGTGGTTTAAGTTCAAGAAATTTGATTGATCGTGAACATGATTTTGATGATGAATCAATGATGATGATATATTCATCACCATAACCGATTGTTTCTCTTTCTCTTTTTTTGTTTTGTTTCGATTCACTTTGTCATTGTTCATATCAACAAAAGTTCCTTGAATACTTCTATAATGTAGCTAAAATAAAAAAAACAAAAATTCAAGATTGTAATTAATAACCCTGATAATGAAATTAGGGCTCCACATGGAATGGGAAGGGATAGATATTGTCTTTTATTACGCTATTAAAATTTTGGAGTCCAAGCGCACTTTGTTGCGTTGCTTTTTTATTTTTATCCTAATATAGATAAGAAAAATGCAATCAACAATATTGATGAGAAAAAAAATCATCTGTTTATAACTTTGGCAGATATATATATATATCTTTAGTTTAGAACCCTTATTGCGTATACGTATTATATCTATATTATTATTGTTCTATAACAAATCAATGGCAGGTATTCAAGTTATCCGCCTATATTTTCTTCTTGCCATTACTGTTGGCTTAATTCCTCTGATTCGGGGACAATTTTGTGCGGCTGGTTTGTGTCAATCACAATGGGACTATTGTGGAACAGGCGACGACTATTGTGGTAATGGTTGTAAATCAGGACCTTGTTATGGTAGTGGTGGTGGCGGCGGTGGCGGTGGTGATGGTTCTATTATTACGGAACAAACTTTTGCCTGTGCATTCAATACACTTGATGCTGGAACAAGATTTAATCGATTTAGTGGTCTTAGAGATTCAGGATGGAAACCATCGAATAAAGACGAAGCAGCTGTTTTTCTTGCTCATGTATTTCATGAAACCGATGGTCTTAAAGTAATCAAAGAATATTGTGCTCCAGGTTAGTAAATTTAATACCAGAAACACCTTTTAAAACTTGTTGGATTTTTATAAAACGTTAATTTTTAATCATTTCGAATATCAAAGAAATTGATTTACTCCAGTCTTTCAAATATAATAAACAGATGGATACAGATATTTGATAGAAAAATACTTTAAGATAAGTTTTTTAATATTCTAATAATATCGATGTATTAATTAGGATGTGGTCCACATTACGCTGGATCATGGTGTAGCATCCAAGGTGCACCAGGCAAATCATACTATGGTCGTGGTTGGTTTCAACTCTCTTGGCCATGCAATTATCATGGAGCTGGACAAGCCTTAGGTTTAGATCTTCTTAATAATCCAGATTTAGTTGAACAACGACAAGATGTAGCAGTTAAAACAGCAATTTGGTTCTATAATGCAAATAATATGGCTGCTCCAGCTAAACAAGGTGATTTTGCAGCTACTACTCGAATTATTAATGGAGCGTTAGAATGTAATGGAGGATCAGGATATCAAAATCAAATGGCTCGAGTAGCAACATACAGACGAATTCGACATTGCTTTGGTCTTGGAGAACCAGGTAGAAATCCAGTCTGTTAATCATAATATCATTTCTTTATCAATAAAAATAAACTTTACATATATACTATATAACATTGACAAATGTATGCGTCTATTTTTTAACATTCAAAGTGTCAAAATAAAGTTTTATAATCGATAAAATATCGGAACTGATACCTTCTAAAGAATTTTCAAATATTTTTATTTATAAAAAAAGAAAAGAGGATCGTTATATCTATAGAATACAATCATTATCAATAGAAATCATATATAAAACAGTAAGAATTATTTTTTTCAAGTTCTGTAGAATATAGAATAACGTTGTAAAAACGACAGAAAGCAATATATATACAAAGAAAACAAAGTAAATAATAAGAAAAATTACTATCATTTATATTATCGAATTATATTACAATATTTAATTAAAATATACATTTAAAAAATTGTTTGACTATGATTTTATTTTAGTCTACACGTATATTTTAGAAAAGAAAAGAAAGAAATTCTGTTAAACTGCTTCATGTAATTGCGTAGAAAGCAAAAGAAAAGATAACATGAAGCACATGTGTGAGTGGAATAGAACGAGAAAAAAAAATACCGCCCAACGTGGGGGTCGAACCCACGACATTGAGATTAAGAGTCTCACGCTCTACCGACTGAGCTAGCCGGGCTTGTATACTTAGATAAGAAATCGGAATAACATTCATAACATTCTTTCAATTAAAATAAACTTGAACACATTTCATTGTAATTTCAAATATTACAGCCTTAGTTTTGATGATTATCTTGGAGTGACACACGATAGAAATTATTTGTATTTATTATTAACATAAAATTATGTATTATTTCATAGAAATCAATAAATTGTTTTAGATTTAATCATCTTTGTTAATTAATATAATTTTTCCAAAAAAACAAAGATTATAATCAGTAGTATTGTTTCGATTTATATTCATAGATAGGAATAAATTCTAAAAAATCTTATTGAATGTTTTATTTCTTGATATGTTATAATACGTAAACTCTCGCTTGATAATTATAGGTTCAATCGGCCATTGTCATCTGATGATTATTCTGCAAGGCCCGGCTAGCTCAATCGGTAGAGCGTGAGACTCTTAATCTCAAGGTCGTGGGTTCGACCCCCACGTTGGGCGACTTATTTTTAAAAATAAAGATCTTTTCTATTCAATGAATAATTGCCTATTTATCTTGAATGAAAGTAACAGCTTGCTTCAAAAGAACTATATATATATAACAGAAATATCTATTACTCACTTTTTTCCAATAAAATTGATTTGAAAAGTAAAGTTTCTGTATCATTGGCTTGTTAAATATAGATTCAAGTGTTTAGACAATTATTTTCATAATAAAGAATAAATATCTCTTTGTAACTAATTTTCATGTATTAAATATCTTTTAGTATTCAAAAAAAAATAAGAATTCATATTGAAATATAAATTCATTCACCAACAATTTCATCAATATTTTATCCTATTTATTGTATCTCATGAGTGTAATGTTTTTTTTTGTAATTCGACACAGAAAGATCTTCATTGATATTTTTCTATCGAAACTGAATGATTTGTTTCATTATTCTAAATAGTAATCAAATTACTTTATTTTTTCACTGAGTAACGTTTTTTAAATGTAACACATGAAAAAAATTTCTTTTTCGAAATAAATTTAGTTGTATAAATATTTGTTTTAGAAGATATTGTATATTTTCTAATAAAGATAAAAAAAGAAAAAGAAAAGTTGATGATTTTTGTACTTCGTATCAATACGTTCAACAATGATAATGAGAGAATTGATGAAAAAAGGTGGTCATATTGATGATAAAATATATTTAACAAAACATGAAAACTTATTCAAAAGTCAGTATACAACTTTTAAGTTTTGAACTACGGAGTTCATTAAAACTTCTCGTTTTAGAATTTATACAAATGAAATGAAAGCAACAAAAAGAAAATAGTTTATGCAGAACTATTATTAATATCAACAAATGCAACACCACAACTTGCACAAATATCAATGATCCCGAGCGGCCAAAGAATAACAACATCCACGAGCACTACTGAAAAAGAAACAACAACGGCAATATCATTAGAATCATCTGAATATGTAAATGAACACTATACAACTCATGTGCAATTTTATATTTTTTGCCATGATTATATTAAGCCAAACTAATTGTATTGAAGTAGAGATAATTTAATTTTTTATAAAATTAAAGGAGATTTTTTATCTATCGTTGTATTGTTTTACTGTCTTTTCTTTGTTCTTTAATATTGAATATTCTATCATATTTTATCTTGTTTTTACTACTTATGTTCTTTTTTATGTTAATCTCGTTACTGTTACATGATCAAAGACCAGATTATATCAATAAATTAGAAACTAATACAAATATTGTCGTATATGAAATGTACCAATAGAGTACTCGTAAAATTAGAAACGAGTAGTTCCTTATAGTACTTAAATACTCGGCAGTTTTACATAAGTACTCGCTGGTAGTACTCGGACACTTAACGTTCATGTTAAATACAATATACGAGTACTCAAAGATCACAAGTACTCATGAGTTCTCGGAGCATTTTCTAGTGTGAGTACTTTTTGAGTACTCCGGTATGAGTTCTTTCACTAGGGTTTTAGTAAACATTGTTCATTTTCTCAACAACAACAAAAAATGCGCAAAACAGATGCATGTTTATTTAAAAACTCCGGGAAAACTAAGATAATAAAACATTGTTTGTTTTCGATAAAAAAAGTCATTATAATTTCAAAATGGGATGTCCGAGGAAAAGTTGACAAAAGGAAAGTAATGAATAATTTCATTATTCATAAGCTAGACGCAGTATGACGTGCAGAAATGGAGAAAGAATGATTGCTATTGTTTAACAAATGTTTTGTATTTCACTCAGAGTTAGAATCATTCTACTAGTTGGAAATATTGTCAAACATGTTGATGGTAAAAATACATTTATTACTTGTGTTTTTTTTTCTTGTACAATCGATTGCACAAGATATACGATCATTTGAAATGTCGATAATGATTAACAAACAATTTCAATGTGTTAATACAACTTGTTTACCATTTGTTATTGATATTGTATTAGATATCCGTGATTGTCAGTTCATGTGTTTAAGTCAAATTCAATGTCAAGCAACTAGTTTTCATAAATCCACTTCGACTTGTGACTTATTTGATGATATATTAAATCAAATCGGCAATATGTTAGATAATGCGGATATTGTTACTATGATTGTCATGAGTGAAACACGTATTCCAGTCGGTAAATATAGATAGAATATCTTTAGAGAAAGATCAATTGAAATATTCTAGAACAAGACAACTCATTCAACTGATAATCACCGTTTGAGCTTATATTTTACATGTAGATAGAAAGGGTTTCGAGTAAAAAAACAACTATGAAAGAGTTCGTATCAGTATATTTTTCTTCTATTGACTGAATTTTAAATAAAATTTTATATATCGATTTCCTTTCATTTTTTTAAAAAGGAATGACTTCATCATCAGTGGCTGCTCCTTCAATAACATCGTTGACAACACCGTTAACAGCAACGTTGGTAACAACAACTACAACAGTCTGTTAGTATTGTACTGCACGATATAGAGCGATGAATAGTAGTTCCTTCTTAAAAATTAGCATTGGCTTATATATATTCTCTATAGAGTATCTCCGTGTACATAAATAACTTTCAAGAATGTACTACATTAAATAAGGTTTTGAAACGATTGACGAAAATTTCTACTCCTTACGATAATGATAGATAAAATTTTCAATAAATATTGAGCAAAAAATAATAATACAGAATGACTCAAAAAGATAATAAGACACAAAAATTGTAAAACATTTTGCCGACTTGGTTTACACTTCTGCCTAATACCTAAGTGTGGATGTATAAAAGCAGGCATTCTTAAAACACAACAATCGAATACTATCTCTCTATGAATATAATTTCAAAAAAACTACTTTTGTATTTAATAGTATGCAACATAACGTTTCTTAATCAAAAAACTTACCCAATGGGTAATGGTACAAACTTTGTGGTAGTAACCGATGTCAACGGCGATACTATACCCGATATTCTTACTGTAAATACGAATTCAAATAATATGGGCGTCCTTTTAAATAAAGGGGATGGTAAATCATTTTCTCAATCTCTTTACCCAATCGGTGGTCTTCCCTACGCATTAGCAGTAGGTGATCTGAATAACGACAACAAATCTGATGTTGCTGTTACAAATACTCAGTCAGGTAACATTGGTATTCTTATAAATACGGGCAATGGTACATTTCGTCCTCAATACACCTTATCAACTGGTATTAATCCAAATCCAATAACAATAGCTGATGTAAACGGTGACAACAGACCTGATATTCTTTTCTCCTGTTGGGCTACCAGTAACATTGGTATATTTTTCAATAAAGGCAATGGTACGTTTTCTTCTCAATCTAATTACACAACTGGTTCCAATCCATTTGCAATAGAAGTAATCGATGTAAATGGTGACAATGAACCCGATATTATTGTAACAAACGAGGGATCAAACTCCGTCAGCATCCTCCTCAGCAAAGGTAATGGTACATTTCGTTCTCAGTCGACTTTTCCAGTTGGTAATGCTTCGCGTGCATTAGCAGTTGCCGATGTAGATAGTAACGGTACTCCCGATATTATTGTTGGAAACATGTATGCGAATACTATTAGTGTTCTTATTAACTTTGGTAATGGTACGTTTCTGCCTCAAACTATTTATACAGTTGGTAACTCTCCACTTTCAGTGAAAGCAGTTGATATAAATGGTGACAACAAACCTGATATTATTGTTGCAAATGCTAATTCGAACAATGTAGGCATTCTTCTTAATAAAGGTATTGGTACCTTTTTCAATCAAACTACTTACTTAGTAGGTGCCAATCCAACATCAATCGCAGTTGTCGATATAAATAATGACAATAAACCTGATATTATTGTTACAAATTTTGATTCGAATACCGTTGGTGTTCTCTTACATTGTTAAAGTTTATTTATACATTAAACTCCATTCAATTAAATCTTATCATTATACTCAAAATGCTTTCTCTATGACAGACTATATAATAAATAACTATTAATTGTATCCATATAATAATAAATATATTAATAAAATTTTAAAATTCTTCTCAATTTTAACCCATTAAATCATTTCTTCTAGATATTCTATAAATTGAACTGCACTTTTAGCTTTAATAATTAGGTGAAACTTGATTTTCCGATAAAATTTATCTATTACTGTGCGTTTCTGCCGCTATATACTTATGTTTTACTTCATTTTCCGTCAATTCTATGATAGAAAATGATGTACAACACAGTTCTCTTTTCTCAATTTTATTTGCGTAACTGATAGATTAACGATTATAGTATTTTTTTTAATCTACTTTTTAACATTTTTACATAGCATTACGTAGTATTTGACGATTTGTGATCATCTATTCCCACAGATAATTTTGTGTTTTATTATGTCTGCTATTTCATTCTTTTCGAATTCGATTAATTGATGAAGACATCGCTTTTTTTTATAGATAGATTACGGTAGAATACAAGTTCCAATCATTTCGCAATTGAGTGAAATTCAAATACCATCTAGTTTGGATAAAGATTACAAACAACGAACAACAACAATTTAAAATTCAAAATAATCCAACATCGAATAAATCGTTTACATTTACATGTTTATAATGATAATATAACTGGATGAGATTCAATTGGTTCGATTAAAATTAATTTTAAAAAAAATATATATACTTTCGATATAGATCAGTATGAAGAATAGCTTAAATTATTAGTTCATATGCAGGAATTTATGTTATTATGGAACATCATATTAGAAATTGTTTAACAAGCCAACTATATTTATAATCAAAACGTTTTTTTTTTGCATATATTATTATTTTAATAATCAAGCTTAAATGTTAAATATTTTATTTTATAAAAATAGAACAAAATTGCAAATATATATGCTGCTCAATTGTAATAACTTCAGGTTTTAGAAATGAAATACTATTCTCTTACACAACTGTCATGTGTACTATTACTTTTAAACTAATTATAAAATATGGGTAGGCAAGAATAAGAAAAAGAAATCTCCTCTTTTGATATAATTGCGATTAATATTCGTGAATATGAAAAAAGTAATTGTTTAATTATATTCAATTCATTGAAATATCCTATCAATAACTGAAATAAAATCTAAAGAATTGTATTGTACAAATAAGTATAATACATATATCCTAACAGCTAGATATATATTATTATGGCATTGCAGTAACTCGAGTATGAAGACTGTTATTTTTCTCTTCTGTTCTGTTCTTTCTCTCGAACATATTCATACATAATAATCTAACGGAGGATGTCAATAGTAATCGTTTCTCCTCGTTTTTTTTTTGTCATACTCAATCATATACATATTTTTCTTTTTTGTTCTTTATTTGACATTTATAAAAGAAAAGAACGAATCGATCTATTTTCTTTCACAGACCACATGAATTTATGTGTTACTAACAGTTGAATTTTATTTTGTTCAATGAATTTATTTCGTTATATATTTTATTCGTCATATCATCGACGACGTCGTAAACATAAATTTTTTTTCTTTATTTTTCTTTTGTTAATATTATCTATATATATATGTTATTGGTGGATGGAAATTAATTCTCAACATAATGATATAAAAATAATTCAGAATGAAATTGAAGAAAAGAAAAATAATGATCTGAAAAAACGTCATCCAATCATTTGGAAATATATACAAAATCCTTATGATATCAATGTATGGAATATAATTAATGAAGCTAATAGAAAATATGAACAAAATAAAACAAAATATCTTGTCTATTCTTGTCGATTTATGTGTGGAGGTAAAAAATATATATTTTCTGTTTCAAAAAAAATAAGAATAAATTTAGGTTGGGGAGATCGTACTCGTAAAATAGTTGCAGCATTTTTTCTATCACTTGCTTTAAATCGTACATTTATTCTTGATATGACATGGCCATGTTCAATTGAAAAATTCTTAACATCAAATTTTATTTCCTGGTCAATATCATCACATATTCATATACGAAATATATCGTCGTCATCATTTAATATAAGTTCATTAACATTAAAAGATTATTCATTATTAAAATCTTATCATGAAAAATATTCTATAATATATATTCAAACAAAAGATATTGCATATTTTGATTTAATATCGAGATATTCTCAACTTTATCAACCATTATTAAATCGTTTTAGACTTAAACATGAACATATGAATATTATTACATTATATCCATTATTTTATGAATTACTTATTAAATTAAAACCATATTTACAGGAAAAATTTAATCGAATTAATTTAAATTCGATCGATTCAAGTCCATTATTATGTGGTCATTTACGTATTGGTCGTAATCCATCAAATCCTAAAGATGTTGTATTTCCTCATCGTGAACAAATGAATATAACTATTTTAAAATTTCTTCTTTCACGTCCTGGTCGAGTATTTATAACAACTGATTCAGTTGAAGTTCAACAATTAGCAAGAAAATTATTTCCAGTATCACGTTTAATTGAAATCAATGGTACAATTGCACATATTGATCGTGATTGGAATTATTTAGCTTGTGAAAGTTTAGAAAAAACAATTCTAGATTTTCATGCATTAAGTTTTTGTAATTTAGCTGTGATTTCAAAAAGTTCATTTGGACATTTAGCTATTATGAGAAGAATTAATCCATATGAAGAATTATATCTTTATTGTAATGGAATTAAAAGAATTCGCAATCAAGATGATTACAATCAATATAAATATTCAACATGTTAACTAATTTTTATTTAAATCACATAAATTGACAATTTGACAAAAAAAATCTTTCGAGCTTTTCTCAAAATGTCAGATTATTATTATTCAATAAAGAATTTTTATTTAAAATAATTGCGGGTGTGGGTTCATCTTTTATTTACCCACATTCACCCACCCTAACTGAGTCTATTGAATAAATATCTACTGATACATCAATTATATGTTTACATTTTGTATGTTATCTAATATATGTAAGTTAGCATAAAATAATAATTAGAAGAAACGAAATGAAGTTATCATAAACAGTATCTATTATCTCTAAGTTCTCTATGTATATTAATTATAGAAAAATTAGAGATATTTATTCATGAATCAATACATATTCTTACATGATATACGTAATACAATTGTTTATGTTTTGCACGAGACATAGATGAATTTGTAATGATCTAGGCCAAACAAATGGTTTACATTTTGATAATAGAAAAAAACCCAATCTATGTTTTCCGATTATTATACATTAGAAAATTGATTTTACATTTGAAGTATATCAAATAAAAATAAATTTCCAAAATTAATTCTTTCAATTAAATTCTCATAGTAGCAAAATAAAACTTTCAGAAAATCTTTTACATGATTATTTCGTTTAAATTTATTGGAAATAGTAATTGATAATTTACATTTCTCCTCAGCAGAAAGGTGTTGAGAACTTTTATTCCGAACTACAGAATATGTTAATCTGTATATCGTTGCTATTAAAATTATTCAAACCGTATATGTTAGTTATACTTGTCATTTATTCCTAAATAAGATGAGACAACCTTAGTACAATAATTAGTTTAACTTTTGTGTTCTGATAAAAATAAAGCTTTTTGTTTAAAAACATTATTTATTTTGATTGTTATGAATTCACAAAAAAAACAAGTTATAAAGCGATAGTTAATTGCAATTAAATCTTATTTATTATTGTTTATTAAAGAACCTATAACAAATTTCACATTTACTTCTCAAGTATTTCTCTTCCTTGATTGTCTCATAAGTACGAAGAATGAGAAAATTTTCTTTTAAAAAGATTGCTTATAACAATATCATTCAACGGACATTGAAATTACTAATTTTTCTTATACAAAAAACCGTCTAATCAACAAATGAATATATTACAAAAAAAAGTAGATTTTTTTTTCATTTCTGTAAGTAACAGTGTACTTTTATCGTTTCTAAGCACGAAGAAAAGAGAATAATGTTTTGTTGCTAACCTTTTCTAAGTGTTTGTGCATTAAGATATTAAAAATAATCAACAAACAGATGTCAAATACAAAAGAAATGATATATCATTTTAAATTTGAAAAAAAATTTTGTTTTAGAATCGCCGAAACTGTATAATTGTTTTATTAATGCATTTTGTGAGGAGAAAATTCATGATTTGTTTTTGTCAGACAAAATAATTTTCTATTCAACCTTTTTACGATTATTTGTTTTGTTTTATACCCTAGTGGTGCGCATACAATTCTGTCTGATGTACTTTTATTTTCTTTCCTCATGTCTTCATCAGTTCCTATAGTTTAACATCGTTTTTTATATTACGTTGCATTTGTAAGACAAATATTAAAAAAAAAGAATATGGAAAGTCATTTTAATGATATTTACAAAATGTTGAGATATTTAATCGATATTACGATAGATACTGACTTATGGGAAAATGGATATGCACCTAAGATTAATTGGACTACGCTTGGACTTATTTTTGTATCACTTCTAACCGTAATTTTATTACTTCTTGCCGTAATTTATAATATTTACCTACAACAACAGCGGCGTCCAACAAAAACAAATGGAAATGAAAGATGTTTACAACCATATGAAAATAAGATAATAAAAACGCTTGATCCTGATCCAGTGGATATTTCATCTGTTTCATATAAACAAATCTATATTAATTATGATCCAGATTTATTTTTAATTTCAACGTCTGGTTTTATTGATATTACTAGTGTAGAAATTTATTCCGAACCGACAGTTGAAATAACTCAGTCTATAACTGAACAAGTTCTTCTATCTGATACAGAACGAAAGTTAATTTGTTATTGCGATGGTAGTTATTCTCGTTACATGTCAATAGGAACTTCTGGTTTTCGAGCTTCTGATGGAGGATACCGATATCGTTTATTCTCTTCTGGTGATCCAAGATATGGTAGTGTCGATGCCGAAGTTCAAGCTGCATATTTTGCCATAGAATATGCTTCGAGAAAACATTATAATAAATTAGTTATTTATACAGATAATTCTAAAGTAGAACAACTTCTAAAACGTCGTAAACCAAAAGATTGCAATTATTATCCTGATATTTGTCAAATTCTTGATCAGTGTAATAATCAACAAGATAAAATTACTATTAAGGTAATTCGAGTTCGTGGACATACATCAAGATATGAACAAAAGAACTGTAAAACAAAAGCTGAATTTGCAAAAATCGATCGAATTGTTCGAAAAAAAACACGTCAATTTATAAAAAAATACCGACTTCATTTTCAACCAGTTTATCATAATTATTATGTATTGGATCGCTATTTCTATTATTTCTGATGCACTCTTGAATGCTACATTGAAAATATTTGTTTATGTATTTGTATCCAACTTCAAATGTAATAAAACAAAATGCAATTTAACATTTAGTTATATTCTATGAGAAGTAAAAGCTTATGTTTGACACAAACGGTGAAGAGTATTGAAATTTGAGACCTTCATGAATATGAAGATCAGTTATTTGCCTGTAAAATAAATTAGATGATTTAAATAAAAAGCAAAATAGAAGTTTACAATGATATCTGTATATTGTATTCACATAAGGAGCATATTATTCGATAACTCAAAAATCATGGCATAATATAAAAATATAAAGGATATTAAAAAAACAAGATGTATTAATATTAACAAGAAAAGATCTTTTGATATGTCGAATAAAAATCATGCGCTTTTGTTAAATTCAGCACTTTTCCGGTGCTGGATAAAAGAATACAATCAAAAGCATGATTTCATTCCGCAAAAAAGTAATAGTACGACATTCACTTTCACAAAACATTTGTTACAACACACAAAGTAAAAAGTCTCTGAAACAAAAATTTTTCAGAGTAATAATAAAGTGATTATTAATTTCTAATGACTACCAGTGAATCCTTGAATAAAAGACGAAAGAATCTTCTTTCAAACGAAGTTTCAAATAACAAAGAAAATATTCAATTGATTTGGCTTGATGGAAATATAAATGATTCAGATGATTATCTTCTCACACAATTAATGTTAATTGAACTCAATTCAGCTGTTCAATTTTATTCTCATTTTGATCGTTGTCTCGATTTAATCAAATCAATCAAAAATGAACAAATCTCTCTTATTGTTTCAGGTACTTTTGCTCAACGTATACTTTTACAAAGTCATCATTAACGATCTTTGGTTTCGATATTTATTTTTTGTTCTAACCATCAACGTTATAAACCATTGATGGAAGAATATAATAAAATTATTGGAATATTTACTGATCAACATGATTTATTAAAATCAATTAAAGAAAAAATGAATCCAGTCGAAAAACAAACATTAACATTTAGTCTTTTTGATTAAAAACAAAAGTCATTAAAAGATTTATCCCAAAAATCAGCATCATTTCTCTTACATCAAATGTTAATTTATGTTCTAAAACAAATGCTCGATATGTGTCGTGATTATTATAAAAAAAAACAAAAGAATTAAAGAAAATTGAATGGTATGCAGGTGAATGTTTTCTTTATAAATTATTAAATAAAGCACTTCGAACTGAAGATATAGAATTACTCTCTACTTTTCGATTCTTTATTATTGATTTATGTTCAGTTATTAAACAAGAAAATCATCGTTTGAAAAATAAAGGAACATTAATTTTGTATCGTGGAACACAAATTCCAAAAGAAGAATTGGAAAAAATAAAAGAAAATATTGATAAAACTATTTCAACAAATGGATTTTTATCAACATCACGAAATATTAATGTATCACTTCGATTTATTCATAATAATCCTCCATTAAATGATTTTACATCGGTTTTATTTGAAATTAAAGCAAATCCATTACTGAAAACAGTAATTTTTGCTGATGTTGGAAATAAATTTGTTGTATATTTAATCAATATTACGCAAAATAAAATAAGAAACTAGAAAATAGATTCTTTTTCAAAGAAAAGTAGCAATAAAAATAGTAGAAATGTATTCAACAATATTATCTTTACACAACTTATACATTTTAGATGAGAAACACAATATATCATTTAGATATTCTTCTCCACGTCTCTCTAGTCATTGCCATCGTATTCTCTATTTCAAACATATTTTTTGTAAATGATCATAGACATTAATAGAAAAAACTTTTTGTTGGTGGTAAATCAAGTGATTCATTATACTCATTCATGAAACAACTGGTGTAACTTTAAAAAACTCTTTCGCAACATATGTTCATGACTATCTCTGTGTTGCTTTTGTCATAAATATAGCATTCTCAGTATGCAATATTCAAGTACAATGTAGTAAAGTTATTTTTCTTGTTCTTATAAGTATATATCAAAGAATATAATGGCGTAAATAGAAACTGAAGAAATATGTACTCAATTGCGGATAAAGTGATACTCATGTATCATTAAAAAATCTCTTATCTTTTTTAAGCTTAATAAAATACAGCTGTGCATTTCATTGTTAGAGCAGTTTACTAGAAATTATACAAAGATATCATATCAATTTATGTGAAAAAGTCATAGAAAATGGTCACTTATAGATGTAATAAATAAGCCTATTCTTTTAAAAATAATAGTGATTAATACTTTATTTCATCAAAAATCAATAAATATTATGAAAAATATAAAATTTATCCATTGAATTTCTGCTTTGTATGACAAAAGCAGAAAAATGCTATTTTTTGAATATGAAAATATTATGTGTAAAGGACACCGCGGGATAAGATAGCAAATCTGCCACCCCCCTGGAT